TCTTATAGAAACACAGCTTTCCTATCATCAAATGTCACGGCACACCACTGATGTATTCATTATTTACAAATATCAATATACAAATATTTTTATATATAAATATATTCAAATTTATCTTTGTTGGTCTCTCTGAACCATAGATTTTGTTATAAATGTAGATTTATATCAATTAAAAATTTAAAATTTTTATCTAAAATATAATTAGCCATGGCAGAAATATTTGTTTGAAAGTTCTTTTGATTTTATGAATGTAAGAAACTAACACTTTATACCACTTTGTACATGCCCGTGTAGGTGCATCCCGCGGCTTTGCTTTTGTGGAGTTTCAGTTACTCTCCGAAGCCGTGCGCTGGAAGGAACTTACACAGGTGTTGTTATCGCCCATTACACTACCCCTCATACATCTGATTCTTCTGTGTTAACAGGGGATATTGGTAAAGGGTTTTTAGGGAAGGGTAAATATATGAAGGGGAGTGACAAGGAATCTTCCGAGATCATCATAGGAGCCACCACCTTAATATTAACAGTATCACTGAGTATTGTTACTTTTATTTTGAAACTTTGTAGATTAAGCCTTATTATGTAACTTACATTTCTTTAACGGGAAAGTTAAAACTGTAAGTTACCGTATTTTATTTATTAAATAACTTAAAATTATTTTAATAAAATTTGATTGGCCTGTATATAAATTGTATAATTTTAAATATTAAAACACTGCATACTCTATTATTTTTAAAATATTGAAACATAGATTAAATTTTGTTATTTATAGGATTATATATATTTTTAATAAGAAGTATTTAAAAATATATTAATTTCTGAAATTTTATAACATTGATAAATGCAAACAGTTTTTTATAAATCTGAAATTTTGCATGAAATTAAGATGTCTACTAATAATTTAAATTTGCCTTGATAAATAAAACTAATTAAACTTGATATTCTGGACTAATAACTATTTCTTTTCAAAAGAATTATGCCTTCGGTATACCAAAAGAAAATAGCTTAGAATAATTTTTGTCTTAATAACAATTCTAGTTTAATAGCATTACATATCCCTACAAAAATTGTTAGAATTACAAAATAACTAGAGTATGATTTCTATAACTTGGGAGAAATTTTTATTTATGACAATGTAAAATCATCATAAATTACACGTGTATACTGTTAACTTTAAATTATAAAAGTTGAATACAGTAGAGCATCAATTATCCGAATCAATTGGGGACTGGGGTTGTTCAGAAGATTGATGTTTCGGATAACCGATTATGTACGAAAAAATATATTAATTTATTTCATCTTGACATTTTTCTCCGTTGCATGTCGCTTCGCATTGAATTTTCATCGATGTTAAGCCTAACGAAGACTATTGTAGCGTTAAAAATTATTTTTTTATTTTGTACGAACAAAATAAATATATTGAAAAATATAAAAACAATAAAAAAATTATACTTCAGNAATAAAGTTTGATTTGAAAATAAATAATTTTAAATCAAATTAGAATTATATTTCAGATTATGTGTGAAGATAATGATAAAATATATAAATGAACTAATTTGTATGATGATTGTATTGTATGAATATTTTCATGCATTGTCCATACAATTGTATGCTAAGTTATGATAAAATGCAAATATTTAATCAAAATATATATAAATGTAGGACATCAGTTTTTTTATCAATTATATGTGTGATTACCACATTCTGAAAGTCAAAAATGAGGACATCCTCAACCTACTCCAATTTGTTACACAGCATGAAGTTCTGAAAAATCAATAATAATGTGACTGGAGGGTTGACACCTCTTTAGTTCTTCGTCAGGACTGACACCACCGTGTCCCGATTGACACAGAAGCCATGACGGCAGTTGGATTCTGTCATGTGAGCAGCTGCGTGCACAGGTGACGAGGTTCAGGATGGAGGAGAATTAAGAGAAAGCATACTGGAAGTGAATCACTCAGATGCCAGATTAACTAAACAACCGTTTGTTTGTAAAGGAAAATACATAGTATACAATTAGTAACAACTTACAATAAATTGATAAAATAGGTTTATATATTTCTATGATTCTCAAGAGAGAGAGTTACAATGGTCCGCGAGTTGATAAATACCTGAAGTAGAGGATGTCCATGAGGTGATGATAGATTTTGTTTGATTTTCGTTGAGACTAGCAGTCTGTTATATTCTAGAAGGGTTGTGGAAAGTTCCAGATTGGGAAAGTCTGGGTCAAGATAGTTGGGAAAGGTTCAAGGGTTGTTGGTCAAGGGTGAAATCAGATCAAGGAGAATTTGTTGGAGACTTTAATCTAAGAGGAACAGGCTATAACTGACTCATTGGCCATCAAATTTGATATCAGTACGATATCGCCCAGCTAAGAGGTCAGCAGATCACGGGAATGCATCGCTTTTGCCTTTGAGAAAGTGTAAGAGGAGATTCTCTCAGGTAGTAGATGACAACAATTATTGAGCAAGTATGATGGCATTGACGATTGATTTTTGTTAAAATTCGGATTATCACAATAAATTATTATTTGTTATATTTACACTCAATTATAATAAATTAAAATTTTTGTGAATTACTTTTCTCAAATTAATTTTTCTTTTTAACTAATTTTATGTTGGATTAGATAAACTTCAATTCATGTTGACGTATTATATTATCATCATTAATACAAACATGCCAAAATGAATTATGATTCATTAAATTATAAAATACATGTTCATTTACTTATCTACATTATGTTTAAACAACATTACAATTTTACATTAATACAATTTTAGATGTTACAACTGTATACAACTTTAAACCTTACTACAGCCTTGATACTGGTACAAATGTTAATCTTAATCTTAAGAATTTTGATATAATTTTATTCCAACTTTCATGTAATCTAAAACCCACACTGTTATTAATTCTCTCTTTTTTGGTACTTTTATAATTTCTATATGCTCTTGATGTTTCCTTTTTAATGTGTAACTTTGAGGCTAGAAGTGTATTTAGTTTAATTAGTAATTTTTATCCCCAAAATGAAGATCTATGTTAATCCTAAGTATATTTCAATTGCAGTAATTGCACATTAACTGGAAATACTTTTAAATGATATATTTTAATATACTTTTTTACTTCTGTAAATTCTTTTTCTGTATATAATTGTAAACGTTAATTTTTTTGGACTAATTATGCAGGATTCTTATTTCTTATATGTTAAGATGAAAATTAGTTGTGACTGGTACATGAACTTGGAATTGCATATGATCTTACAGCCAACAGCTATAAGAATTATGGAAAATGCTCACACTTCTATGATTGATTAAAAAATATCAAGGATGGTTCAATAAAATGCAAGATTTGAATTTATTCATCAAAATTTATTTAATTTTTTTAAAATAATCCCCTCCTGCATTTCACTTATGCCAATGTTTTTTCCAATCCTTGAAACATGCTTTAAAGCCATTTTTGTGAATCCCTTCAGGACTCTCAGTGAATTTTGTTTTATGCTATCAATTGACTCAAAACAGTGACCATGAAGTAGAAATTTTAGTTGAGGAAACAGGAAAGCCACATGGTGCCATGTCAGGTGAATACAAATTCCACAAGCTCAACAAGCTTTTGAGCTTGTTGAGCTTGTGGAATTTGTTGAGTTTTTGGAAAATTTATTTACGAACAACAAGAGCATTGTTTGAACTGGTGCATTATTCTGGTGCAAAATCCATGAATTTTCTGCTATAAATCAGGTCATGTTTTATGAATTGCTTCATACAAATGACACAAAATGCTCAAATAATAATTTTTGTTGGTAGTTTGGTTAGATGGAAGGAATTCATGATACACAATACTATGACAATCAAAGAAAACAATCAACGTGATCTTGATTTTTGACTGACTTTAATGTGTTCTTTTCGGTCTTGTTTAACCTTTTGAGTGCCATTCACTTGATTGTTGAGCTGTTTCAGTGTCAAAAGCATAGATCCATGCTTCATTATCCGTAATGTGTTTTAATTAAGAATGATTTGCCTTGAGAAAACATTTTTTTGGCCACTTAAACATGTTTTTTTTTTGGAAAAAATTCAACATTTTTGGAACAACTTTAGAAATGATGCACCACAAACCCAAATGATTTTTAAAATTGCTTGACAAGATCCAAATGATACAGGAACATATTCAATAATGCCCCTAATTGTTAAACAACAATAATTAAGCATCAAATCTCAAACATGCTGTTCATCAGTTGAAATGGATGGTCTTCTATAGCATGGTTCATCTTTGACACAGTCTCTGCTTTCCTTGAACATCTTGTGCTACTCAAAAACTCTTGTTTTTGATAAACTAACGTCACTAAAGATTTTCTGCACCCTTTTCAATGTTTTTGTAGCAGTTATTCCATTGTGAAAACAAACTGTAATGCACGTTTTTTTCTCAGTTACACTGTCCAGCACAAAAATTCTTTACATGCAAAACAATAATTTATTTACAATCAAAAATAGATGATGGCATATGGATTGCTGCTAGATGTAAATGAAAGTTGTACCAAATGACGAAAAAAACAGTAATAGTGCCCTCTTCCAAACATGCAGTTTAAATGAACCATTTCCAATAATTTTTGATCACAGTAGTATATTTACAATTGAGAAGTATTTATACTGCAGTCATCTTTTCTCTGTGCTATTGATTCTTAATAGCATTGCATTAATCTGTATGTGTTTTTACTGTTGGAATATGATGTGTGTTGTTAGAGAGATACCAAAGAAAACTAGTAACTGTATTTTATTAATTAATGTTATATTTTTACTGCTATAATGAACTTGTTTCTTTTGAAATTTGCTTTCATTTAATGCAGTTTTTGTGTGTTGATTTTTTTCCCTCTCTTCTAATTACTATAAGATGATAGCTATTTTAAGTTAGCAAATTTATAATTTTAATATTAAAACTTGAGTATTTTTATTATTTAAGTTTCTACATTGATATATAGTATACATAAATATGGTAATGTATTAAGTCAAATATTTCTTTGAAATACATTTTATTATTTTAAACTAATGAACATTTTGTTTTCAGAATATTTTTTTAAAATCCAAAATTATTAGATAGCTGAATAATTAATTAACAAACCATAGGTAATTTATGTTATCAATATAAAAATTAAATAGCAAATACATATTTAGAAATACTTATATTGGTTATTGAGTGTGTGCATGGTTAAAAATTAAGACAGCATAAACACAATTATTCCATATACAGGGTGTATCAGAATGACACTTTAAAAATTTGGGGATTGTAGAGGATGAAATTTTGAAGGTTTTGATATAAGGAACCCATAGTCAGAAATGTGATATAAAGTTTCTACAGAAGTAGGTAGCTACCCTTCCGT